AAAGTATACAAATATTCACTGAAAAATCGTTATAAAACTGGTTCCCCCCCAAAAACTAACAATCCTATTAAAAAACGGCTACGTACTTCTATAAAACATTTAATTTGGCATAGAATAAACTTTGTTTGAAGTCAATCCGATGTAAATTGTAGGAGCTACGCTGCACACCAATTTGAAAAATGGTGTTTTACAGAAATTGCGTTTAAAGTTTTGCAACGAGAAAACATGTAATTATTAGGAGCTCACCGTTAATCTGCAATGCCTGCACCATACAGTTGACCTTCTACATTCATATACTCGTCATCTGCGGCCTTCCGAGCTGATGTCTGCTGCCTACGAGCTTCTTGAGCTTCCTTAGTCATGGCGCGTTCAGCTGCGCGGATCCGGCGTTCGTCTGTTTCAACGCAGAAATTGTAGCAAGTAGATCCAATTATTAAATCTAATACTTGCATAATTTCCATTATGCTGTGCAAACCATCGTTAAAATTGCAAACAGCAATATTTGCGGCAATATCAACGATTGCTTTGCTGCTATGAACAGTTTTTGGTGCTATTGCCCACAGCACAGAATTAAAGCTCTCGTTGCTGTTTTGGGTAAACCCGCCAACACAGCGGGACAGCAATTCGTCTCGACTCAGTTCTTCGTAAATTGGCTGAATAGCTTTAAAAACTTCACTATTCAAAGCTGGTTTGTGTTGGTACTCATGTAATTCATTGTGCGCTTTCGCCTGCTGCCAAGAGCACCAAGAGTTTTCTCCGACTGGGCAACGGTCGTGCTGCGGTTCGCTGTCCGTGGAAATCTTGTGAAATAAAGTCGCCCATATTTCTTGTCTCATATCTTCTATGGAATTAGGATTTCTGCGAATAGCTAGACCATAGTATATTGTCAACTCGTCGATCAGTTTGCCTGTTAATTTGCCTCTGCCGCCAAGACCTCTTACATTTTTTTTCAAATTTCGTAATCTCGTGCCCATACGTTTTTGAATGTGATCTATACATTCTTTTTTACAAACATTCAAATCATCATAAGGTTTCGAATCTAAAATGCCTTTGAATGTTTTGCTGTCCCCGTCTCCGATATAATGAGAATATTTTAAATTGTGCAATTCTTCGGACCGCTGAAACATTTCTACGACTGCGTCTACTTCCATCTTTCCCGACGAACCTTCGTGATTTCTTTCGCAGTTTGCTTCGTGATTTGCAGCCCATTCTTCATATTCGCTTGTTTCTTGCTTTCCGTTCCACAAACTGCAGGCCTTACAAAATTTAGATTTCACTGCAATGTCGATGATTTTTCCCGTGCACCACCCTATTAGTGATACGACACCGAACAAAGACGAGAATCCCCTCTTCCTCCAGGTCCCGTCACCAGAAACTGTTATCCCGTCTATCTGTCCTCTTTCCAATGACATCTTCTTTTCTTTTGCAGCTGCTCGTTTTGTTGATGTTTCACATACAGCATTAGTGGCAACACGAATGTTTGAAATTATTTTATCATAAAAAGACTGATACACTGGTATCGGCAAACACATAAATGCACAAAATTTTTTAATTCCATTGATTCCTATACCGAGTAATCTCATTGTAAATACCAAACGGCGATTTATGTCGTAAGCATGATTGTTTATAAGTGGGCTAGAATTAATATATTTTGGCAGGCACTTTTCACAAATAACAGCAATTTTGAAACCTAGACCGCGACAACTGGATTCTTCAAACTTGATGTTCGAGCCACATGTTTTGCAAACAATTAATTGCGAAATGCTTGTAAAAACGGTAACAAAATTAATGAAACGATACCCAAAAGTATTGTTCACGTGTATCTCGTAATCGTCCGCACTCGTTTTAAGTTTTTTCGCCGACGTGCTTACACTTTCAGTTTCGCCTTCTAAAGAATACCTATTTAAAGGCTTCCTTCTATTTATTGAACTTCGAATTGCACGTGCAGTACTTGCTCTACTCCCTTTTTTATTTGCATATATTCTTTTGTTCGACATTATTACAACAATGTTACGACGTTTCAATTCAATTTGAAAAGCCGAAGCCGGTGGTACAACGGACACTGTTCGGAGTAAACACACAATTCCGGCATGAAATAAAGTATTATATGACAGGAATATACTGTTTTCTGTTGAAATGGTCACAAACGACATCTACAGTACTATACTAAACTATCAGGAACCTTCAACTACTCGAGAGTTGAAGTAGAAAGGTAGAATACTCGGAGAGCGCTCCGAGGCTCTCTCCGCGCGCTATGGCGCCGCGTACAAAAATGGTTATTTCGTACATGAAAGAGTTCCAGATCGACTTTAGGCGAATAAAATTATATTCTAGACATTCCAAAGTATCATTTAAGCAAAAAAAAAAAATCTGAATTTTTTGACCCTCAAAGGTGTTATAACCCCTTAAAATTTCGTTATGATTTCATTAATATTTCGATAATGTTTCATTAAAAATGTAGAAAAATTCAGTGAAAAATCATCATTAATTAAAATAGATTGAGAAAAGAATAATGAAGTATTATTTTGTCTAAATAATAAAAAAAAACTATAATTTCATATTTTGTGTCGTTTCATTTATTCGTAAGATTCGCGTAGATTCGATCCCGCGTCACACGGTCACCCATCTTTAAATGACTATGCGCGCTGTTCAATGCCTAACTGCAACGATCGTACGGGAACTGGTGATGGCGGGAGCGTCCCGATTGACCACGGTACGATTGGACACAACCAACCGATGAAAAAAATTATCTAGTGAATTACGAGGTGGAATCAATCATTACAATCTGTGTCCAATCGTGTCGTGGTCAATCGGGTCCCACCCGGTGATGGCTATGCGCTGTAAGGGTGCCTCCCCATGCAGCGTAACTTGCGTAAAGGTCTTTGCACGTAAAAAAGCGTTAACCGTAACCGTAACTTTAGTAGTTTTTAACACGTACAATCAAATGAAGCAACGCAAGTGAAATTGGGTGTATATCAGTTGGACACAGGGCAATTGGACACAGTCCAATCACAAGTCGCTGTTCCAAGGGACCCTACAAATGTCTCTAATCACACGGTGCTGTGATTGGTTGTGTCCAAATGCACCGTGTCCAAGTGCACCGCGCCCCGTTTAAAAATGTAATGACATATTTGTCGGTAAATATTTCAAAGGACGTAACAACAATCACAATGCAATTAATATTGATACAATGTTGTATAACTAATCAAACTTTAACATACAATGTGCTCGCAAAGGAGAGAGAATATTCCTTCTTTCTCTCTCTTTTGCGAGCATGTTGTGTTTAAATTTAATTAGTTATACAATATTGTATCAATATTAATCGCATTGTGATTGTTGTTACGTCCTTGGAAACATTTACCAACAAATATGTCATTATATTTTTAAACGCTATAAGAGTATATTGTAAATACAATCCACCACGATATCGTTACAACGCATAGCCATCACCAGTGGGAACGGTGCACTTGGGCACGGTGCATTTGGACACAGCCAATCACAGCACCGTGTGATTAGAGACATTTGTAGGGTCTCTTGGAACAGCGACTTGTGATTGGACTGTGTCCAATTGCCCCGTGTCCAACTGATATACACCCATCACCAGTAGGTCTATTCTTTAACTTCTTAACGACAATGTCACTAGCCTAGGGTGTCGTTATAGAGATTTAACAACACTGTAACGAAAAATGGTATTCTGTAATTTTTCTTAACAATAAATATCGTTAAAAGTGTCGATAAAATATCGAATTTTATCGTTAAGATATCGAGGGGTTTGGGCCTCTCGATAAGCAATAACGACAATATAACTAGGTATAACGATGTTCCAAATAATAGGAAAATGTAACTCTACGTTTGTACGTCGGCTCTACAGTTACCGACTACTGGCCTTTTCTTTCCTTAATTTTTGTATCTTTTCAGATACATTTGATTTATGATCTCGCCATGTCTACAAAAATATTAAAAATATTAAAAAATATTAAAAATATTAAAAATGTATTAATATAGTCATATATTTTTTCAATCTTTTATATATTGATTAAACATACAGTTATTATATATATATATACACACACACACAAATATATGACATCTATTTGATATTAATTGTATTGGTCCATGTATTGGTAACATGTATAATAAGTATTTTGCTAACACATGTATGAATATAATTTAAAACATAATCTGCAAACATTATATTCAAAAAAATGTTATATATATTTCGAAGATTAATATTATATATACAATTATACAGGGTGAGTCATCTGAATCTATCACCTCCAATAACTCGTTTGTGTGGCCAGGAATCGAAAAAAGTTTCATATAAAAGTTGTAGGGTTTCATATAAAAGTTGTAGGGGGAACCAAAATGGCGTACCTTTCAACTTTTGATTTTGACCGAAAGTGGGTTACTTCAACCGGAAGTGGTTTTTTTAAAATGGAAACCCCCCTTTTTGACACCGGAAAATGAAAAAGCGGAAAATTTTACGTTCAGATATAAAGGCCAGAGCACAGACTTTTACATAACGCATAAGGCATAATGCATAGAGCATAACGTAACGTTCATCAACGCACAAACTTGTGCATTGGCTCTTAACATTCTAACCTTAAAGTTTTTTGGACATCGAATGCTATCGCAAATATACATTGATAAACGGTAAATTAAATCAAATTAAAAGATAATAATATAAATAATATTATTGAATGATAATATTAATTATTTTTTTCTTATTTTATATCTAGGTTAGTCAGAACAAAAGTTTATAGCAACTACAATTAATACCAAAAAATAAAATTTTACTGTGTCACGTAAGTTTTTTGTAATGTTCTTTGCATGTTTGGATTTTAAATAAAACATTGATTTAATTAATAATTTTATTAATAATTTTATTTAAATGTCATTTATATTATCTAATGTAACGAAAATTGAAAGACTATTAATAAATCTTTGTGTATACTGTAAAAATAAAATAATACCATAAGTTAATAATACGCGAATAGTCATTTGATTCGTATTTTTATATTTTTAGATGTTTATTATAATTATAATTTTACATAATTGGACATAAAGCATCATACATGTGAACATGGAT